CAACACTCTCTATCTCTCTTCAAAACTCTGCACTCTTTGCATCTTATTATGTAGGACTAGAAGTCATTGTAAAAGATTATAATTCAGCGATACCGTTTTGCGCCCGCTCGTCAGCTTTCTATGTGATAAGGATGGTGTTAAACGTGAAATTTACAACTTACAACTGTCATACTGGATAGAAGTTTCATCCTAGGTTTTGCAGTGGTTCTCTAACCAATGTGAGCTCATGACGTGTGACCGATCAAATCACCGCAAACCACCAACACTTGAGTATTAATCTGATGCTCATTCTATTGGGAAGTCGTGACTAGTGGGGTTCACCAACAGGTCGGGTGTGAGAACGAATACTCGCCATCGATGCCATTGGCTAGTGGTGGTACTCTGTGGTAAATTGGCAGGAGTTGGAATTCATGGGCAATTGGGTCGGGTATAATTGGCTTAATGGTCTACCAGCCAGTTTGCCTTGTAACCGGAAGGTGTTCTGGTTTCGATCCCCCGTGGTGGGTGTGTACTGCTGAAGAGTTCCAAAATAGGAGGAAACAGCTATTCAATACTCCCTGCGGCTGTTTTTTTCAATGGTTCTCTAAATGATGTCAGCTCATAATTAAATCTTAAAACAATTTATTCATTTAATTATTTATTTGATCACCTTTTATTTAATCAATAATTCTTCCATTCACTTGACGCATCGATAAATGACTAACCTTCATCGCTTAGTTATAGTCATTATTTAATTGAAGAGGGTGAAAAAGAGAAGAACTGATGGAGAGGAAGGGGGGAGGGAGATATGATATCGGCTTATTATTACCATCTCTTTTTAATTGATGACTTTATTACGTGACAGAGTAATCCTCAGAGATATTTCTTATTTTCTTACTTCATTGAGTTATAGTTATAGTACTAGTGATGACGTGTCCTTTGTTGTTGATGGAGGTTCGTCTAATGCAAGGCAGGTCATACATACACTGTAATGAATCGTTTTCTTTACTGTATGGGTGTGCGTGTGGGCGTGTTGAGTTAATGTTACATTCTGGACTATACAGGTAGATACTTGAACTCATGGAAGAAACTGACGGGAATATTACCTTGTCAGAGATTCTGAACACCCTCTCTATACACAACTCTCTGATTGCATTTCATCTGTTAGATAGGACTAGATAGGATTATGTACAAGATTTTATGCTCGTAATTCTGCGTCGGTGGCACAGCGGTTACGACTCTCGCCAATCATACAAATGGTTCAGGGTTCGAACCCCTACCAACGCACACCTGATATCTATAGTCGGCCTGCAAAATTTGGGCTACCGATATCACATGCTGAAAATTCCATACTTGTACCAAAAATACTGTGTGGTTTCAAGCTATAATCAAAAAATAATAATTGTCTGCTCTATTCTCTAAAAACAATACTTATGATACAGAATGGAATGTTCAGCATTTGTCATAACAGAAAATCAAAACAAGTGATTCAGCGAAGAGACTCTTTTCAACAACGAATTTATCATCAAGCTGTACAGTCGTATATATGTGGTTTTTCATACAATATTACGTAACATTTTTATTTTATTCGATTTGTCTACTAATCTTCTTTCAAAGTTCTATCCAACCTATGAATTATTCTATGTATGACATTAATTGTTTTGCCCCCTGACATTTAACTATGATTATAATCACAAATATTGTAGTTTTCATTGCATTTCATACTACTATTATTATTTCGTGGATTCACACCTTTGACTTAATTCCCTCACCGGATTTAACTTCTTAAAAAGCATAAATAAACGATTGTACAGCTTGATGATAAATTCGTTGAAAGGAGTCTCTTGGCTGAATCACTTGTTTTGATTTTCTATTTGTCATAATGTTGCGTCTAATTCACTCAAAGTATAAATCAAATTTTGAAGCAGGTTAGTAAAGCAAGATTTATTGATGAATTCATCAAATTTCAGTAGAACTCGTCAGCTGAATACTCTACATACACGGATATAAATACTTTTGAAATTACATTGGGAGATATAAGACTGATAAGCAAATAAAGTACATTGAATTAATCATACAGAGCGACACATGCGAATGTTTTCCAGGTCATGTTCAAATAGATAAGGTGAGGGGGATTATGGGAGATTGAAATTAAGACAAAATGCATTACGCTTCAATTACATCACTTAGATAAACAATTAGACATTAGAGAATATAACAAGAATTGCAAACAGAGTGATATCAATAGTAATAGTTACAATAATAACAATAATAATAATGTTGAAGTGAGTTAAAATAATGCTACTGATAAAGGATAGTTTTAAATGAATCAAGAATAATAGTAATAATAAGAGGTAGAATAATAAGTAAAACGTATTACCATGGTAGATTCAGAGTGACGACCATCTCCTTTTGTACACAGACACCTGGTTTATAAACTCGAATTGCACAAGCCTCCTCTGGAATTGCAAGCATCTTCCTGTTTCTTTGTCTGCTGACTGACAACAGTGAATGACTTGACAGCATCGATATCATGTCCAAAGTCTGCAAGATGTTTTGTTATTGAGGTTTTTGGCACTTTGCATTCAGCTGTTTTCAACCACTTTGGCAAATGATCCATCATGCGAATAGACAATCGCCTTTCTGTACGGCCTATGTATTTGCTTCCACAAACTCACTCAAATTAGCATTATCTTTACCCACTTCATCATTATTATTATTACTGTTATTATCATTACTGTAACCATTACTATTGATGTCACTTTGTTTGCAATTCTTGTTATATTCTCTAATGTCTAATTGTTTATCTAAGTGATGTAATTGAAGTGGAATGCATTTTATCTTAATTTCTATCTCTTATACACCCTCTCCCCTTATCTATTTGAACATGACCTGGAAAACATTCACACTTGTCTCTCTGCATGACTAATTCAATGTAGTTTATTTTCTTATCAGTCTTATATCTCCCAATATAATTTCAAAAGTGCATTCAGCTGACGAGTTCTACCGAAATTTGATGAGTCCATTATTGAATCCTGTTTTATTAACCTACTTTGTTGCTTGTTTTAAATTCGTATCAGGAAATAATGGTTTTCAACCAATAAAATTAATCATAGGAACTTTACTGCGTTTACGGTAGGGATAATGTCATAAATGTGCAAAATGAGTATAATAACTGTACTATTAATCATAGTGATAATGTTTGTTTCAAACAATATCCAATAGTGGTTTTGTAGGGATTCAGTGTGATTGGATGGAGTATTTCATCATGAGCTGACATCAGTTAGAGAACCACTGGAATTCCTGGGGTACTGGACAGCCAGCTGTTTCGTCCTAGTTTGGGACTCTTCATCAGTACGCACCCACTGATATTTGATCTGATGCACACTAGCGACTGGCCCTATTCAGGCAGTGACCTGGGGTTTTAGTGGAAAGCCGTGGCCGTTAGGGTGCAGCAGGTTGAAGGTGAGGCAGTAACTGATCGAAGAAGACATTGTGAATTGGTCGCGACGTCATGAATTGACAGAAGTTAGAATTCATGGGCTGGCCACTGGATTGGGTCTCAATGGCTCAGTGGTCTACGAGCTCGCTTGCCTTGTAACCAGAAGTTCCTGGGTTTGGACCCCACTGAGGTGGGTCCGTATTGCTGAAGAGTCCCAAACTAGGACGAAATGGCTGTCCAGTACCTCCTGCAGGTTTTCCAGTGGATCTCTAACTGATGTCAGCTCATGATGAAATCCTACATCCAATCAAACAATATTATCAATACAGTATGGAAATCTTAGCATGTTATGGAATATTGAATTCAATGTTCTCTTGACATAGCAGCATGGTGAGGTGAAAAACAAAGCAATAACAATTATTACACAGTCCAAATGGTGTTTACAATTCTGAAAAAAACAAAAGGAAACAAGGGCACTGTAAATATAATAGGAATAATAACAGTTAAGACTTTTTGGTATAAGAATGGGGGAAAATTGTTTATTTACTAGTGGAAAGAAGGTTAGTTAGTTCGTGTCTGACATTATTTTCATAACATGAAATGCCTGCCAAATGTGGTTTCGTGGAATTTTTATAAATATTATAAATTCTAGTGTTTAACAATAAAGCATTGTTATAATGTGGTGTTAATGATTTCGTCGGTTTCTCTAACTTGTTGAATAGAATGCACCGCCAGAACACGATGATATAACTACTTGAAATTATCTCCTGCACACACTGAGATCGATACGAAAGTCATACTGGGAAGCACGAAGATCGAAACGACACTAACCTTCATTTAAAAAGAATATTTGGTATCTTGTGCTTACGAACCCTCAGAAAATAAAGCCACAAATAAATACACAAATTTGATTGGCTATGTGACATTTTAATCCCTCAGAAAATTAAGCCATAAATTAACCAATCGAAAGTGTCCAATTAGGCTTTCATGTCAGTACATTTATAAATCACCAACTGATGGCTAATAAAGAAGGTTGTCCGTCCGAACAAGCAGAAATAGGAATTAAAATAAGCTAATTTGTTGAAGTAAAGTTGCACTGAAGATGATGACCAGATGAACATAGAAACGTTTGTGGATAAAACTTCAAGTTTGAAAGGTCATTCATCACTATGAGACAATTTATGTGTCTCAGTAAAACAAAAGCCAATAAAAGTGAATTATAGTTTTTAATTAACTTATTCATATTCGGGTGTGAGGACAAATACTCGCCGAAGACAATGGCTAGGGGTCGCGCTATGTCGTGAATTGGCAGAAGTTAGAATTCATGGGCCATTGGATCGGGTCCCAGTGGCTTAATGGTCTACGAGCTCGTCTTGAAACCAGAAGGTCCTGGGTTCGAAACCCAGTGGGTGCGTACTGCTGAAGAATTCCAAACTAGGACGAAACAGTTGTCCAGTACTCCCAGGTTTTCCAATGGTTCTCTAACTGATGTCAGCTCATGATGAAATCCTGTAACCAATCAAATCCCTACAAACCAACACTTGATTATTCATATTTATTGTTTATTTATTATTTAAAGGCGTTAATTCAAGAATTGGAAGCAAGTAAATCACAAATTCATGAAGTTGACTTGGATCCAATATCAGCATCACGATCACCGAATGCAAATGTTGAACCCGGGTATAAAACACGATACAAACGACATGGATATACATGTAAGTTCATCTCATGACTGTCTGTTTGTGTCCGTGCCGGTGTGTGTGTGCATGTGTGAGTAATTCTTTGAAATTCGTAAGCACGATTTGCTTGCTACTTTTTATTTTTCTGTTCGCTTGGGTAATCATTATCGTATAGCTTAACTGAATGGCGTGTGTATTTCACGTCACATGGAGATTTCGTCATAAATCGATATTAGTTATGGGATCGCTGAAAATCAAAGGGTCGGAGCCACGACCTTAGGCTTACTAGTCAACCGTCCAGCCACCAAGGTTGGAATTCTGTGGAGTATAAATCCTAAATTTGTAAGGGTGAGATATTCTGTGAATTCTGAAAACATAATCCGGCCTCCAGCTGCGTCTATAAATCGTCTGTATTATTTATTGTTGTGGAGTGAAGAATGTGTTGGAATGTCAGTAACTGCATTCTAGGACACATATTATTACTCTTCTTGTCGTGATGCATCATCATCGGCGAATACTTCCTTCATTGCTACACCTAGGATAAGATCAAACTGTTGAGAAAAACTTAGACCAGATCTATGCACAACTAAAGCTCTGAATAATTTGAGATTTAACGCGATGATCGATGAAATTCCAAACGTCGCCTCGTTTATTCATGGTAGGCAGTAAACCGGGAAAAAAGGAAAAAAGATTAATAATTATAAATTACTTTACCCCTACTGCAACTATTCAGAGCTCAAGGTTTTGAACCCTGTGTTCCTCTCGGAAAGCAAAGGAATAGAGAAATAATAATAAGAAGATAACATAAACCTATTTTCGGAACACCAAATCTAACGTATTACCGAGTGACGTCCTATCACAAGAATATCGCATACCAAACCCTCAAGTGGAACCTGAATGGGAAACAATAAGTTGGGCGTGTGTTCGTGGGTGAAACGGAGGAGATTGTGCATGTGTGTGTATGTGTAGAGGGAATGAGAACTTACTGGCGACAAAGGACTTCAGAGAAGTACTGCTGAAGCCCTATTTTCCATTTGGAACCTAAGAGACTTTTAAACGGATTTTGAATGAATCCTTGAGATGGTTGGAAGTTGTTATTTTCATAAAAATTGCAGAATGTACTACTGTAGCATATATGAGTAGTCTGATATCAACCATAAAGATAAATGAAGAGGCCATCGTTCGTCAGATATACTGACTATTGTTCAATGCCAAATTAGTAACTAGATAATGTCTTATAGTTATGTAATTGACTCGTGAAGCAATATTGACTGAACTGCTGGTCTAGAGTTCTGAACTTGAGTGCTAATCGTGCTCCAAATTGAGACTAAGAGCACTGAATAGAATTTTACTCACTGTTATAGAGATAGTCGAAGGTAGGCAGTGTGTCGGTATTGTGTTACTTCAGCGTGTATGATTCTGTTGAAGTTGAATGATAGGAGTTATTTCTCCTTAAGATCATAAGATACTTGATAATGAAGCGGAGGATAGTGTACGGCTCTATAGAGATGTTCGACGTTCTCCAGCTCGAGAGCTGATATCAATGAACAGTAACTTGGTATTCAGTTGTCAGGTTTGTGAATAAGTTCCGTTAACTTTCAAATGATTATTGTAAAGAAACTGTGCGTTGGTGGCATAGTGATTAGGACGCTCGCCGACCATGCACATGGTCCGGGGTTCGATTCCCGGCAGACGTACTCCTTTACCTCGCTAAGCCAGAAATAATGCTGGTGAAGAGGAAAGGTTGGGCATGAGGCTAGCAACCCCATCCTGTAAAATAAACACTGCTACCGAAACTTCAAGCCACTAACTTGAAGCCCTATGTTCCACTGGGGAACGTGAAGGAAAAAAATTGTAAAGAAACTGAAGAAAAGGCTGCACACCTGTTTAAATGGTTCTTGACTGTTGAGTTTTATCTCAGTTGTACGCACGCGTTGTAAACGGTGAATTCTGTTTTCTATGTCTGGTGATGGTAATACAGTTGTCCTTTAGAGTATAATTTACAGAATTGATAGCTGATAGGAGTCATTCGGCGGAAGCCCTAAACACCCAAGTTGCATGCTTGTTTGATATGACCGTTATTCTCCTTGGAAGTTTGCGCGAATGAACTTCCTACCTGGTCGATTTGTGAGTCAACTGTTGTCATCACTGTTAGCAACAGTGACGATGCGATACAATACCACTGAATCTGAAATGCAAGAAGATCAGAAAACAGACCGTTGACGTAGACAGCTTTTACTGTCTCTTACCAATAGAGAAAAGGGTTGACAGCAGTTGCATATATATATATATATGCTTTAAATGGCCTTGAAAGACACTAATTACAATGACAAGTTAAAATGGTTAACAACCAACAAGGTTCGTAGGTCACAAGTGCGGCGGGGGTGGAATACAAACAGCTCTGCAAGTAAAGATAAATGTAGCAATTTAGAAAAATTAGATCTACATAACATTGTTGGTACTCACTAGTCCACAGTGTGTATCTGGAGTCTTGAAGGAGCTCGTGCCACTTCTGAGATTCGAACCTACAACACTCATGGCTGTAGTCAGAGACGTTACCACTGAGCGATTCGAGCTTGCTATTGACCTCGTGTAGGACGCTTATGGTTAGTATGTTTTGATATCTATATATGAATGCAACTGTGATTTAAAATTATTGATTCGAATGGAATAATTTTTTAATTTTTCCATATGGCTCAGTAGAGAACTGTATATAATGAAATGGAAGGACTATACACTGTTGACGATTTTCAACAAGTACGAAGCCAAGGCTTCGTGTCAATAACCACCAATCGTCTAACAATAATTCGGAATACACCGTGATGACGAGCCACCTATCATGGTGACAATATTACAAATTTGATTAATAGTCAATTAATTAATTTAGATTCCTTTACGTTCCCAGTGGAACATAGGGCTTCAAGCTGGAGCTCTGAAGATTCGGTAGCAGTTGAGTTTGCTCTTACCGGGTGGGGTTGCTAGCCTCATGCCCAACCTTCCCTCTCTACCGGTCTTAATATCGACCTGACTAGGTGAAGGAGTGCGTCGGCCGAGGTCGAACCCTGGACCACTATCGTGGCTGGCGAGCGTCCTGTCGCTAAGCCACTGATACAATTACAAATCTGACTGCAATAGAATTCAGTGTGGGTTAGCCCAAAGGGGAGGGGCTAGACGTATGACATTATTGACTTCCTAGTGTCGAAGCAAAGCATTTAAAACAAGCAACAAAAGGTGTTAATAAAGTGGGATTTAATGAATTCGTCAAACTTCAGTAGAACCCTTACTCAGCTGGATACACTCTCTCTACACACATGGATATATATACCATCAGAATTACATTAGGAGATGTAAGACTGATAAGGTATCGAAAATTGTGAACTAAATAATGCCTATGATAACAATAGAAATAATAATAATAACAGTAGTAATGTTTAAAACGATTTAAGATAATGGTAATGATAAAAGATAGTTTTAAATGAATCAGAAATAGTAATAGTAAGAAGTAGAATAAAATAATAATAATAACAATAATAGTTAATTTTCTATAGTTTGATTTGTAAGGGTTTTTAATGTTTTTACGAGTTGATCACGGATTGATATCAGTTAGAGAACCATTGAAAACCAGGTAGTACTGGACAAATGTTCCCTCCTTGTTTGGGAATCATCGGCAGTACGCACCCACCACCAGGGTTCGAACCCAGGACCTTCCGGTTACAAGGCAAGCTCGTATACCATTCAGCCACTGGGAACTGATTAAATGGCTCATGAATTCTAACTTCTACCGATTCGTGATTTAGCGTGACCCCAACAATTGTCGTTGGTGGGACATCAATCCACACACGTGACATCTAATTCGACCTCACTGGTCAATTCAGAGTAACCACCATTTCTTTGTGTACACAGAGACCTGATTTATAGGCTCCAGTTGCACAAGCCCCCACAATCGCAAGCATCTTCCTGTTTGTTTGTCTGCTGACTGAAAACAGTGAATGACTTGACAATGCGTCAATATACTGTCCGTAGTCCGCAAGATGTATTTTTTTCAAACTTTTAAGCACTCTGACTTCAGGTGTTTTCAACCACTTTGACAAATTCTCCATCATGCGAGTAGACAATCGCCTTTCTGTACGATCTATGTATTTGTGTCATTCTATAAACACACTGAAATTAATATAGGCAGTTTGAAGTGTCGTGGATTGGTGACTGATCTTTCCCAGATTGTTGAAGTACCCACTTGGTGGTTGGTGTTAAAGAAAACGAATTTCGCAGCATAATAAGTTTTCTTGACAGCTTTATTGAGTCTTCGTTTGAATATCTCTTGCAGACACCATCTTCTTTGAACGGCGAATTGATACATAGAAATGTCTTTGGAACCACTTGGATAGTTTTACTGTGGCGTTTCATAACACAATCTGCCATTACATTTGTTTTATCCCTAAAAAAGATTTCTGTGAAGTGTACGTACTACTGAGAAGAGTTTTTGAGTAGTATATTAGGCGTGATGTCTTCTGTAAGGTTCTTGAATAAGGGAGCAACGGATTAAGTTGGGAAGAGAGGGGAAATAAAGATCCTTTTGAACAAACATAGAAGACGTGTAAAAGTGAAGTGGTAATAAAATTGTTTTCATAAATTGCCGACACTGTCCATCACGTACTTGATCGAATAAACACTTCTGCTGTAGGGGAACACACTGTGTTCTACTCTTCTGTTGTTGTTGTTATTGTTTGTATTTCACTTGTCAATCTTCCCGTCCACTTAACATTTTTTACTCAACTTTTCCAACTTCTGTTGTTTTTAATAACCTTTAAGTGGCTACATGCAATTGTTCATGCTTTTTAATCGCAAGATGTGATTTAACTTGTTCAAAACAAAAGCCTAACTTTCCTTCCCCACAGGAGTTTGCGTTCTATCTCTTGTGTTAGGTAATATTGTAAAAGGCGAAGATAAGAGACTTGGTAACAGAATTTTTTTACTGATGGAATACACACCAAAATTTATCCATTTTTAGCCACATTTCAGGTTGGCTAGGTCAGCGGACAATAAACTGTTCTGATTGGTTGTTGATTTTCTCAAGGTTAAACCTTGTGACGAGCAGTTGTCCAATGAGATTATTTCTTGACCGCAACCTAAGCGCTAGATCTACTTCTGTAGCCATTGACTACTTAAAATGTTGTTTTCAATTTTGACTGCTTCTTATGGGTCTACGTTTATATACTACTGATAAGTCTTGTCAGTATCACTCGCTACAGTACAATGTGGAGAGTAATATTAATGGTTAGACGTAGGTAGGAGACGTCAGTGGATAATAATAATAATAATAATAATTTTTGCTTTATTCCAAAAACAGTATTAATGATACAGCAAGGAATTTTCAGCATTCAGTACAGTATTGCATCTAATTTACTCAAAAACGACAACAACAAACAAAAAAAAGTAGATAAACGGAATAATTAATACATAATAATGATAACAAAACGTTTTTATAGGAGCTATGTAGCAATTACACTAGAGGATAAGGAGAAAAATATAAAATTATAGTAATAATAGTAATAACAACTAAAATAAAAATAGCAAAGTTATAATTAAGCGATAGAAAGGGTGACACCATAGAATTACAGAAAGATGAACAATGAAAGGGTCGATTCACTATGCTAATTACATAGTAACTTATATGTTTCACGTCTAACAGTGTCTTCATCACATAAAATACGGGCTAAGTACGGTATTGTAGAATTTTTGTACTTAGTGGTACGAGCATATAATTTCTTATATTGACTTCTCGTTCTACCTGATGAGATACAAGGGGATAATTGTGAATAAAGAGGGTGCAGAGGGTCTGACAGTACGGCCTTTGCCCAATTTTTACAGGAATTTACGTGTCTCTCGACTATGGTATTGGCGAGATCACGCAGTGACAAACCACAAGCCCTACTCACAGCATTTAATACCCTTCGTAATACGGCATAGTCTTTTTTAAGAAGCCCAGGAAAGATTAATGGAGAACAATAAAGTAAAATGGGTAAAATACAGGAGTTTAAAAATCGCAGAACTAAAGGTTGGCTGATACCTTGTTGTCTTAACTTTTTAATGTAGAAGGTAAGACGAAACATTTTCTTAGAGACCAATAAAATGTGAGATGACCATGAAAGGTCCGAGGAAAGAACTAATCCAAGGTATTTAATGCTTGATTTGGTTTCAATTTCTGTACCATCTATGCTACAGGCATCATGGGAACTAACTAGTTCATGTATGTCACGTCGATGGTTGAAGGTAAAGTTAACTGCCTGACATTTGGAAGGATTTAACATAAGACCATTTGACTTAGACCACATACTGATGTCCAACAAAAAGCTATTAAGTTTGGAGCAGTCAGACTCAGAAGTGATAGGCAGTGATACAGTCAGATCATCAGCATATTTGATGATGATGAGGAACTACTTCGATAAAAATAACTAGGAAATATTTTACTGACCTTTCTTCGAATATCGATTTTTCCTGACTTAGGGTTGTGTTGACGAATGAGTTAGCAGTCATCAATTCAAAAGATAACATTAGTCCTTGAAGTCATTGGCAGTTTTGTTTGAGTTAAGTAGGGAGTTGTGGACAGTCTGGTCGGGATTTGCAGGATACAAAGAACCAATGGCTGGAGACTATTGGAGGTATGGTTTGAGATCGTTCGCACTGGAGCAGATGTATTCACTCTTTGTGGTCCCTTATATTCCCTAAACCATCATGCTATTCCTTGCTCCTAGCCTTCTCTCTGAAATCACTACATGTAATAATAAATAATTCTAACTCTAATCTTTCTTTTTTTGTCTACCTTTGTGGGCCAAATTGAGTGTGGCAGTTTGAAATCTTTCACTTCTGTGCATAGATATATATTAAAATTCAGTCACTTTCATATATGTATGGGAAAGGCGTTAAGTAATTTCCATCACGCGTATCTTTATTTTAATTCGATAAATACTGCTTCAGTTATCTTTATCAGTTTCTCCCATCATCTTGTCATTTTAGAATTTTAGCCTGCTATTTTGTCTTATCCAATTTACTTGACTTGTCTTTGACTGCATGTACACTCTACCCCTAAGATGAGTGTGTTTTCTAGACTTCTTATCCTGATAAGATTCACTAATGTGCGTCGGTGGCACAGAAGTCAGGACTCTCGCCGACCATGCACATGGTCCGAGGTTCGATCTCCTGCCGACGCACACCTGATTTCTATGGTAGGCCTGCAAAATTTGGGCTACCGACATCACATGCTGAAAATTCCATACTTGTATGTGTGGTTTCAAGCTATACTCAAAAAAAATTTCTTTAAGCCTTTATACTGAACAGATATGCAGTCATGGTGCTAGCAGATAATACAATAGAGAATATAAAAGACTGGATATGTTCTTTTGAAGACCACTGTCTCACCTGGAAACCAAGGTTTCTCCATGAGTTACCATCGGTTAGAAGACTATTGGAAAACCACCGAAGAGTACTGATTAAATGTTTTTTCCTTCTCCGGTACCCAACCAGCGAGGTTCGAACCTAGGGCCTTCCGGTTGAAAGGTAAGCTTGTAAACCATTCAGTCACTGGAACCCAATCCAATGACCCATGATTTCCAATTTCGGCCAATTCGCGATATATATCACCGCTCAATCACCAGCCGACTTGATTGGCGAGTAACTGTTCTCGTACCTGATTTGGAGGACCTCGCTGTTTACTAATTGTATCCAGAACCAATTGCTAGTGATCCCTTGATAATTAATGTGATATTCACAAGCGACTAGTTATATAATACTGGAATTTCCCTGGAGTTCTGTTGAGAAGATGTCACCATCAGTGAGATCCAAGAAGTCAGGCAAAGGGAACAATTACTCGCCTATGATACTAGCTGGTTGCAGCGCTCTGTATATCGTGACATGTCAGAAGTTGGATTTCATGGGCCAGTCATGGGTTGAGTTAATGCGCTCGTCTTATAACCGGAAGTTGTCCAGGGTTTGAACCCTGGCTGTGGGGACGTACTAATGAAGAGTCGCAAACTAGGACGAAGCAACTGCCCAATACTCCCTTGTGGTTTTCCAGTGGTTGTCTAACTATTGTTAGTTCGTGAGTAAACCTACTTTACTGACTTTGGCCTACTACTACTAATACTGTGGTGAGAGCTGCCTGCAAAACAAAATTGTAGACAACAATTTACGTCAACGTTTACGTCCCGAATCAGAGCCATGAGAAAAAACAATAACAAAGCGTAACATTGAGGGACTCGCCAACCAATCACAACAGAGCGAGCGTGTGCAAATGTGATTCGCAGGTATATGGCTAAAACTTCTGAGAAACGGCCAAAAAGAGATGACAGAATTATCTACAGCAAGAAAACAACCAATCAGAAGACGTTGCTTTTCTGCTAACAATAACTCTAATAATAATGCACAAAAATGGAAGTGCCTCTTGATTTTCTCAATAAACGATCTGTTGCCTGGCCCTTGTCTTCTGTCGTTGCAACAGTACTACTCAAATGAATATGTTTCCAGTCCAATTCTGGCTTTTTCTCAGATAAAATGTTACATTCAGAAGTAGATTTTAATCCCTGTATTCACAAGCATCTTCATAAGAGACATGATGGCATTTAATTTGATATTATTTTTACTATTATTTTCATCATTTTCTTTCGTGTTTTTACTTTCCCCCATGCCTTCTTTTTAGCTCCTTCACGTGATACCAGAAGAGATCGTCGAGGTGGTCATAGTCTTTCTTATCGATTAGAATATTCTAGTACAGGTGGTCGTTCTGGCACTATACCAAGTTTTCCTTCAAGTGAGTTTGCTTTTGTAATCTTTTGTCTTGTCTCTTTTTTGTTGTATTCAGTATTTCCATCCGTATGTTTTTTGGGTAACTCTGAACTATAACAGTTCAAAATGAAACTACCTGATAAAGACCTTGACGAATCTTCATCGACCAATCAGAACACGTTTATGCGAAAGTAATGCAAAGTTAAAAAGTAGTTACATAGAATAACTTTCTTGTATATGTTGCAAATAAACCTCCCAACTGCTTTTAGAGGTCCTCATAGTTAGCTTATGCCGATTCCTGTACATAAATTTATTGAGATTACTGCAAATCATCGTGTTTTTTTGACTTATTCACCACTCTGGTCCTCCTCCTTAAGTGACTGTAGAAACTTCCTATGGAATTTGTTTAAGTTCCATCAAAGGGATTAACAAAATCGTCCGTATCATTGACCACGCTATGAATCAGGTGACGTAAGATAACTGACAAGGTTGACTAGGATTTGGCTAAAATTGAACGAAATTCAAGTTTATAACAGTGGTAATAAAGGGTAGAAATTTAACAGGGTGCAAGGGGGAGAAAATAATACAGTTAAAAAACAAAAATTACGCATCCAGTGTTATGGAAGATCAGGTCCATTGTAAATTTGATGAATGAACAATTTAGGAATTCATCAAAATTCTGCTTTTTTCAATATTTTTTGCTTGTTTCAGCTATACCTCGGGAAAGAAGTGTTTCCAACTTCAAAGATTTGTTGACTGTGTAAACTTCAAAATTACTAGTTAAGCAATCAACAGAAAATTCATGACAAAAATATGCAAAACAGGGTTCAGTGCCTTGGTTTATTAATATGTGTGTCAAGGTGAAACCAATACTTTTCAGAGGCATTGAATGAGGCTAGCTCTAGATATGATGGAGAAGATTTGTAGCTCAGGTGGATGATTTTGATGTGATTGTGTTCTCTGAGCTAGATAGTTAAATTGCGGTGCTTTCATTGCCCCTACTAGGCAACATCTTCAGCGCATACTTCACCCGGAGAGATGACTAATAAACTCGTGGATAAATCGAAAAGCTCACTTCGATTCAAATTGAAGTAAGCGCTGAAGATGTTACCTAGTGTTGGGGCAATGAAAGCTTCGCAAATCAACTATCCAGCTCAGAGAGGTTAACTCTGCATCACAAGTTGACAAAATTAGAATTCACGAATCACGAAATCCCAGCCAAAATGATTGAATGCTCAAGGATCTTAGTCTCGTAACTTGGAGATCTCAGGTTATAGTTGTGACGGGACCGTGGATACAAACAACCGAAGAGTCCCGAAAATTTGGAAGTGATTAAATAGGATGAGTAGTTTCAACCAGTAGTGCTTGTTGGCTAGTCAGGTAGAGGTGGTCTAAACACCGGATTAAGGTTTTGCCCATTCAGCTATGTACCCAAGTTGACTCAGCTCAGGGAAATTTAGGGAATAATAGTTCATCTCCGTCTAGGATCCCAAAGTAAAATAGTAATGACAGTAGATCCCGCGATACAATGTTGTCAGACCTGGAGCGTAAACGAATCCCTTATGATGATGACATCTCTTCTTTGTCTCCTTCGAGAAACTCACGATGTTTGGTTGAAAGTCAATTGAGAAAAGTTCAGGAGTACATTTCAAGACCTAAGGAAATCACTGAATGATTAAAGACTGGAGGTACTTAGTTAGTTTCATTTCTCAGGCAGTGGTAGTCTGTACTAGAAATCTCAGGAACAGTCACTTCATGCATTGGGATACGCTGTCACCCAAGTTTAGTAGAAACTTGCAGATCAGCAGGTCGCCAACATTTTAAATACTCTCGAGAGGAAATAATAACACCATTGGAGGTTATATTTTAATCAATTAAAACAAAGCGGACATAACAAATTAAATACGATAGAATGGTGGAGATTTCCGGTAGCGCAAGTTTTAAACAAGCCGCCACCGCCAAAATTCAATTAAACAATACAAAATGAAAAATTAATAAGGTCAAAGTGGGAATAGGGATTATAATGAGAATACTTTAACATTCTATGAAATATTTTCTAAAATCACCATTTTATTATTGTTACTACTGCTATTATTAAAAAATATTGCCATTATAGGATACGATCACGATTATCCAATGAGACAGCATGGTCAATACATGCGATCAACCTATTCAGGTAGTCAGCCTCTTCTACTTTCATCTTGTTTGGTTTGCTTTTTTATTTGGCATGTTACATTGCCTGTTTGCATAGTAGAATGTCATTCACCTTCATCGCTTTCCTCCACCTTCTTCTCCTACCTTCTCTTCGTCTTTCTGTCTTCCTTCTCGTTTCTCGTCTTCTTCCTTTCCGCCGCTGTCTTTTATTCACCTTCTGCCCTTCATTATCACAACCGTCATGATCATCGCTATTTTCGTTATCACTCACCATCATGATTGTCATGATTGATCATGAATTTATGAGGCTAGAACATTCAAAGTTGAGTTGTTTGCATGTGCGTGTGTAGATGTGTCAGTGTTTGTTCGTTCTCTTGGATGTTTAAATAGTTAGATTCAAAATCTCATCATTTTTCCCACCCAACCCTACCGCTCTTATTCTCATCTATCTCCTACCCAGTGTGTTATTTGATTATACCTATTTAGTAGTAGTGTAGTTGTTTTTGTTGGGTGTACATTTTCAGTTTTTACGGGTTCTATTTTTTCAAAATAATCGATCATATGGTCATCTTTGAGTTTTGGTTTGCACAGATTTTCATCATGAGCTGAGAAAATCGGTTAGAGAACCACCGGAAAACCAGCCACAGGGAGTATTGGACAGTGTTTTTCATCCTAGTGCACTAGGACTCTTAGGCAGCACCCACCCTTCACAAGGCTTCGAACCCAAGACACCTGGTTACAAGATAAGCTAGCTCCTAGACAATTCAACCATTGGTACTCGATCCAGTGGCCAGCCCACGGATTCCAACTTCTGCCAATTCACAATACAGTGCGATGGTTCTCTAACCGATATCACCTTATGTTGAAATCCCTGCAAACCACCAAAACTTGAATATTGCTCTGATGCTCACTAGCGACCGCCCCTTTTGTAGATAGGTAGTTACCACCTGTATTCTAGTGAAAAGTCGTGACCAGTAGGATACAGTACGTGGTTAGATGTTGAGACAAATAACCGCAATCGATGACATTGGGTAGTTGTGGCGCTATATGGTGAACTGGCAGAAGTTAGAATTCATGGGCCTGTCATTGGATCAGGTCTCGATGGCTGAATAGTTTACGAACTAGCTCGCCTTGTAACTGAAAGGTGTCCTGGATTCTAAGCATAGTGTTGGGTGCATGCTGATGAAGAGTCTCAAACTAGGCTGATGAAACATCTAGCTGTCTAGTACTCCTTGTGGCTGGTTTTCCAATAGTTGTCTAACCATAGGGTTATCTGTTTAACTTTTTTCTTTAGGTTTTGTTTTGAGTTGTTCATTCACATCCTACTCTATCTCTCCCTTTGATACAAATCAGAATTGATTTACACGAAGGCACCATATACAACCATATGTTATCATATAATTTTAGGTTAGAATACTTTCTCTCTGTTTCGATATACTCTACTGTACGCTTTGTTTCTTCTCTTTGTTTTGTTACACATTATTATGTAACATTTTTTGGTGTTAATTTCACTATTCAGTTGCAGAGATTACACATGTCAGAATCAGTTGTGTTACTAATTATCTATTCTAATTTATTTGTGCTGTTGTTTAATTCCAATTTATGTGATGTTTCAAAAGGCTTTGTACCAATTTGAATATGTATACATACATCAGTGTTTAGCCAGATTAACATAAAATGATCGATCTCTACAAATTTTGGTTGATTGTTACTTTTTACGAGTTGATCACAGATTGATATCAGTAAGAGAACCATTGAAAACCAGCCACAGGGAGTACTGGACAGCTGTTTCATCCTAGTTTGGGAATCATCGGCAGTATGCACTCACTGGGATTCGAACCCTGGACCTTGCCTGCTTTATGATGATGACATTTTTAGGAAGTGTTTAACTTATTCAGTTCTTTCTGAGGATTTGGTAGGTAATGTGTTGTCAGATGGTTGAAGGCAATTTGCAGGAAGCCTTCGATCTATGTTTCGTACCTGTAGACACTCATCAATCATCAAGACATATCTGCAGTCATGAAGGAACTCATATCCTATGTGAGATTCAAACCAGCGTCACCCATTGACTTGCAGTCAAACACGTTACCAATGAGCTATTTGGGCTCGCGATTGAACTCCTGTAGGACATAAAGTAGTGTTATATATCTAGTTCTTTGTTTACTGCAAGCACGAAACCTAGGTCGAAGGCTTCCTGCCAATTGCCCCAAACCATTTAATAATAACAATACTGAGTGCACCGTGATGGTGAGCCACCTAGCATTGCTGGCCACACTGCAAACTTGACTGATAGAATTCAGTCTGCAGTAAACAAAGGACTGGAAACATGACACTACTTAGTGTCCAGTCAAAGTAGGTGACAGGTTGTTGGATGAAGCCTATTTCAGATTTGTCACCCATTAACTGTGTCTGTCTCCCCTTTAGTACGCCTAATTATTCGTTGAGCATCCTTCTTTCTACAACTACTAATACTGAATTTCAACTCACTTTACATCAGTAACTGATATCTGGATATGAATTTCTCAGAATACCTCATTAGTTTTCTATGCCCAATGATGATAGTATCAGCAGTGGGGTGAGTGATATTAGTAGTAGTTTGGCGTGGGCTACTGATAAGATTTATAAGTAGTAAATAAAATGACGTTCATTGGCACAGAAATATCAGATAGCAGAGAAATGGGAAAACTTGACGTCAAAGAGAACAAATCATAGGATACATGAAAAGAAGACAAAGAAACACAATACGAAGGACAGAAGTAGCACAACACGGATGATCTCTGTAAACGATGATTTTCATATTAGGTGGTATACATAACTTCCCTATATCATAGAGATATCAAGTTCCAAATAAACATTCCTTTGCTAAGTCTCTTATCTTCTACCATTTTAGTAGTATCATATGCGTGGCATACTCTTTGACGTTTATTGGTTTGTTCCCATTAGTGTGACTTGTAGCTTGATTCGATACATCGGAGGGTACACACTGACTGACTGACTGGTTTCAAAATAGAACTTTGCACAGATTTGCAGCAGTTCGAGTCGCCACACTTCATGTAGCACACAAAGTAAGAGAAGAAAGTAAAAAGAAATGCAAAATAGAGACAGTAAACAGAGATATGAGGCAAAAAATAGAGTAATATCAAACGATTTTAAGCCATATCATCAATTGTCTCCATCCATTTGTGTTTACGGTCCCGTGGACCCCGACCAGGAATCCTACATCTTCCAAAGTGGCTTAAACTAACTGCTGTGGATTTGATTGACTGATGACCACCACTGACTCTTTTCCAACCTGATAAATGTAAGTCAGCTAACATTGCCCGTCGAGCAAAGCGGGCACATATTTACACACACGTATTTACACTTCAGAAAGGCATCCTCTTAACAAATTGAAACTTCACACTTGTGATGCATTTTTACTCATTGTTATGCATTTGTGTGTTCATGGTGGCGGGGGGTGGAGTGAATCTCACCTGTTTCATTTATGCACGATAGCTCTTCTGTTTTCTTTTATTATTTTTTGGTTTTATTTTCATGTTTTTAGTTTGTTTCCTCATTTGTGCCTCTCACAGTTACTTGAATGTGCTTTTTAATATTCATCAATAAAATTGCAAAGAAATTCGTTCACCTTACTCTCGACTTTGCTATGAAGTTGGCGATGAGTCATCCGTCTATTATGTGAACCCTAATGATGATACTACCTAGCTGTCTAAATCTCTCTAGGCACAGTAGGATTCGAACTTATGACCTAGTGATTAGAAGCAGACTGCCTAGACGTATAGTAAGTCACAACTTCATGAAGTATCTGCAGCCGCGTCAACCAGTGACCTAGTGTGGCACGTATGAATTGATAAACTTGTGAGATACTTTAATAATAATAAGTCTCGGAAACTACTAACACTCTTGAGTAAAGCATTTTTAGTGATACTTTTATCACTGCTTATCAGTGGGCTGACCTTGAAATCTGGAAGTCATGAGTCCATTTCCCAAAGGGGTTCATATGTGCCTACCATTGAAGACTCCGAAGTTGGGACGAAATACATGTTCAGTACTCTAAATGGTATTAGTTCGTGATCTAACACTTATGTAATCATATAAGATTGTTATTTGAAGTTTGAGAAACAATCTGTGTTATTTTCTTGGTTTTTATTTCGGTGCTTCCCTCCTCCCTTATCTCCCTTAGCTATCTCTCTTAATTTCGAAGGGCAGTTCATTTTCTAGCTTTGATGTTTGATTACTTTGATATAACTTCCTAGTGATTATGATTTTCCCGTTGATTGATTGAACTGAAATGTTTGACTCCTAGTACGGACTCTGTGACAATGTCTGAGGATTAACTCGATGTAATTCGGTAAATGGTGACTAGTAGTAGAATCCAGGAGGCACCCATCAATCACTAGGGAATGCAGGTACATCCTCTAGCCGACAAGTCTCAGATAGGACGAAATGAACATTCCTGAATTCCTCCACTGCTAGTCACCATATACATTAAATTATTCGTTAGCATTGATTTGAAAACAATGTTAACAGCGATGGTATAAAGTCATTGTGTTGATTGATGAAGTGCGTGGGGTGAAAGCTGATGCACTTTGTTTGGTTTGAGTCTTTTGGAATATACTACGTAAACTCTTAGTGACGTCACTTGAACTCTTGCCCTCTCTTAGATTCAAATCTGTGTTATCCGGTGCTGCATTTGCAGAAGCTACGTTGTGTTATCGAATACAGTTCTACAGGAGGTAAATTGGGAGCCCGAATAACACAGTGGTAACGTCTCTGACTGCAGATTCACTGGATGACACGGGTTCGAATCTCAGAGGGGAGGGACATGAGTTCCTCCAAGGTTATAGATACGCCTTGCAAACTGGTAAGTGGCAGCAAACACGAAAGCCAACAATCTAATAACACCTTATTATCATCATGGAAATTCTGAACGGATTGATCAATCTTCCTTCGTTGAAAAATTATCAGTCTTTCCACCCCTTTTTTACACTGAAGTTGGTATTATCTACTGAAATCACTCATCGTTCATCACCAGACTTTGTGTAATGAGTCGGTAGCTAAGTGATGGGATCCTCGTCAAAAATGGACTCGCTTCGGGTTCGATTCCCGGTTAACACACTCTTAAACCTCGCCTATTCTCCAGTCAGACTGGAACAGAATGAGAGGTGGGTGTAGGGCTAGCAACCTCAACCCGTAAGCAGAAAACACCAACACTAATGAAGCTAACTTTGTGCTACAAATGAGGCGCCATATATTCCACCATACTTACTGACTGATTAACCAACAGTCGAATGTAGAAATTTGCAAAGGCATTAACCAGTTCAAATTGTCATACTCTGAAAAATTTACAACGTAAGGAAGTAAAACAAACTGGTACTCAAGTGTGATAAAGACTTCATTCGGTGCGTCGGTGGCACAGAGGTTAGGACTCTCACCGACCATGCAAATTGTCCGGGGTTCGATTCCCTGCCGACGCACACCTGATATCAATTGATCAGCTTGCTAAATTTGGGCTACCGATATCACATGCTGAAAATTCCATACTTGTACAAAAAATACGGTGTGGAATCAAGCTATAATCAAAAATAAATCCATCTGCAGCACTGTAAACTAACTACTTAGAGTTTAAAACCATTTATTATTATTATTGTTCCCTTGGGTTCCTAGTGGAACATAGGGCTTCAACTGCACGCCTCCACTTGCTTCTGTCTTCTGCTGTACTTTTCACCTGCATCCATGTTAGTCCATACTGTTTCAACTCCTCTTCACACGATCTCCTCCATATCACCCTTGGACGTCCCACTCGCCGCTTCCCTTTCGCGTTCCACTCGAGCTATGGCCTGACGCGCGATGTCACCCAGCGGCCTCCTCAGCGATCCATTTCCACTTTCTCCTGCATATTTGTTGGGCGATTGGTTCTTGTTTTGTTTGTTCCCATAGTTTCTTGTTGGTGATTCTTTCCGGCCATCTGATCTTCAGTATAGAGTTTAAAATCATTGATTTATAACAATTTAAAGAAAACTCCGTGAATTTAGTAAATATGTGGTGTTAATATCTGAGTTAAGGGGGGTATAGCAGTGATTGACCTCCAAAATAGGACTCTAGTGCCGCACACATTGTTTAAAAACTTTTATTTTGGATGAATATGTACAATATTGAATTGTAGGCGATGAAATATCGGATGCCCATATGCGTGAAGGCTTTTTATCCCCCATGAAGTTAACCTCGAATTCATCTTACGTTTTTTACTTATCTTTTACAGCTCCTCGACCTGGTTATACCTCTAGTATATTATATGGACGAGCAGTTAGCCTGCCTAGACCATTTATGGGTGTTGAAAATGGTGATGGAATCTTAGATCATACTAGTACAATATCTGGACATATACATACAGGCGGTAGTAGTTCAGGTGTCCGAGGATCTGCATCCACAACACTGAGAACAGCACAATCTGGGCATAGTTTTCATCCAGGCACCGGTGGTGTCGGTGTTAGTCATTCTGCATACTCAGGTGATGTACTCAATTGTCCTGATCGTACAATTACTGTCCCGGAATCGCTTAATACAAATTTCAGTGGAACTGAATCACGTACAATCGGTTTACAAGATGGAATAGGTTCAGGTGGGTTTAAATCTCTGCATATATATATTTTGTTTCATTTGTTCAGACTTTGTCAGGTTTTTGAATGTTCATTTAGCCTCTTTTTTGTGTTTACGAAATGTTCTTGAGAGGTTTGATTGCAGAAGCAGTTATGCGAAGGCTCGAAAACATAATCCTAGCAAAGTTTATAGAAAATCAACTCACACAGACCAAATACTGAATTACAACAGCAACAATTCAAAAATCTATAAATACGTCTTGCCTAGCCCTTGTCTTCTGCCATTGCAACCTTAGCCATTAAGTTAGACAAAAACTGGAGTTATGCATACAAACGAAAATCATTCAACCACTTCTACTACCACGGTAACAATCTTGATTCTACTGACTTGATATTTGTGCGCTTGTTTTTCTAACTCCTCATAATTCTTGTATTTCTTTAGAACTCTCACATAATTCTTTGTTTTCCTTCGTTTCTATGTACATCCTAATCAAAATTCACTCATTAAAAGATTCATCTTATTACGTAACTATAATAAATATTTTCAGCTTCTTTTATGCAATGACAACTCATCACAACTACCACCGTCTTATCGATCTTCAGCACCCTGTAGGTTACAATCTGATTATTCATCACATGTTTTGAAATATTTCGATGACGTAATCAATAACCTCTTTCCTGACAAACTTTACGTATACACAAACATACAAATACAATTGTGTAAATATTTGCGATTGTGTACAGCTAAGTGAATGGATTCGCCAAAAACAGACTATTCGCCATTGAACTACGTGTTTTGTTTTCACGCTGAATGGTGATCAAGAAAGCAATCCTATTTGAATAAGACGGTGTACTACTAATCGACAGGGTAAATACTTGTTTGTACCGCTCACATCAAGGCGGAACTGACGAGGATATCAAAGCAGCGAGGATCGAGAAATCAAGACAAGCTTTTATAACTCTCATGTCAATGTGGAGGTTAACAGTACTCATCATGAAAATTAAGATGCGGATTTTCAACTCCAATGTGAAGTCAGTGCTACTTACTATACGGATCAGAGACTTGGCGCCACGCCGCGTCATGAAGGCCACTTCGAACAAACTAAAGACCCTCATCGACATCTGCCTTCGCTCAATACCTCCCTAAAGATCAGATGGCTGGCCAGAAAAGATGAGTAACAGGGATCTCTGACAATGAACGAACCAACCCAGCAGGAACGGTCGGTCGGTTTTCGACATAGAACTTTGCACATATGTGCGGCAGTTCAAGTCGCCACACTCCATGTAGCACACAAAGCAAGAGAAGAAAGTAGGAGAAATGCATAATATAGACAGTAAACAGAGGTGTGAGACAAAGGAATAGTAATAAAGAAGAACAAAGCAATTTCATTGGAAATCATAAGTCACAAGGAGTGGATGCATCTGCACTAGCCACTGAGGACGATTTTGAGCCATGTCACCAATTGTTTCCAACCATTGGTTTTTACCGTCCCGAGGGCCCCAACCAGGAAGTCTACACCTTCCTACGTGGCTGGCTTAGACTAACTGTTGCAGATTTCATTGACTGCTGACAGCAGGAACAGATTGTACAAGAAATAAGCAGGAAGAAATGGAGAAAACAAACCACCAAATGAGTGACATCACACGCCAGGCCATCGCTCGAGTGGAACCTTAACGGGAAGCGTCAAGTTGGTCGTCAGTGCGAGCATGGGGTGACATGAAGGAGGAGGTCATGCGAAGAGGAGATGAAAGCATGTGGGCAGACGTGGAGCCAGGTGATGAAAACGTTGGCGGAGAACCGAACGCAATGGAGACGTTGGGGCTGAAGCCCTATGTTCCTTTAGGAACTAAAGGAAGCAATGATAATAAATAATAATACATCAAGTAATAGCGCTCGCTAGCCAGATCACATATTATAAAATTTGAATTAGTTTAGTTTCGAAAAGAAACTCTAGTCGTCAGGTTTCACCTCGTAGAACTGTATAGATTGCAAATTAATTTACAGCTTGAGAATTTGATATATATAGAATTACTAGTTCGCCTAAGTAGTCAGCTAGAAATTAGATGGTTTGAATATATGATACGGTTGTCTAAGCCGCATTGAACTAACCACACCGCTGATGAACTCGGCCCGAAACAAATGAAACGACCGTCACATGGTTAGTTCACTTCAATCTAGCGATCAAGCACTACTGATTTGAATCGGTCAGTAGTATATATATAGTTTCATGTAAAAAGCTTTTATTTATTCCCTTTTAAAGCATATATACACATATACATTGAATTACTTAAATAATGAATATAAATATTTACGTAATATGAAAAGAAAAATTTCATGAAAATTCCACTTGAAGAAAACGAAAGAAAAAAGAAAGGAAAAAGAAAAGAAATCTAAATTATTTTTGGTCGAGTGAATTTTGTTTTGACTTATAAACAAAAATATATTTGAATAGAAATAGACGAAATTATAATAAAATGAAATGAAATGGAATGGAATGGAATGCAAGGCAAGGCAAGGCAACGCGATGTGATGTAATGCGATGTGGTGCAATAACTGTGTGTATGTATGTAGAAGTTATGCAATCATTCTGTTATTGAATAAAAGACCATTCTCCCTCTTCCCTACGCTACCTTACCCTACTCTATCCTATCCTATCCTACCCTCTTACTTTTCCCTTCTCTTATTCACTTTCCACCATCGGATTTGTTATCCCGCAGGGTAACTAAATTTGTTTTGTTTTGTGTTTTCGTCTTTGTACACGCATACACACACCACAAACAGACACCGCTCCATATGTTCGTTGTTTATGCGCACAGCAGTGTTGATTGTCTTAGGTAGGTAGGTAGGGAGGGTTGGTTGGCATGATTGCGATGGGGTGGGGGCTGTAATTTTGGTCCGTGTATTGCTTCTCTGTGTGAAGTAACTACCTAACGGCCCTACTTCACTTTTATGACTTTTATTCTAATTTGTAATTCCGCATTTCTTTGTTGTTTTTTTTGGCTTAATCGTTTTCACTGTTCACAATATAATGAAGAATTCAACGGTGCATTGACAACTGTCTCTTGATATTCGAGCATACAGGGTTTTTTGAGTTGATATCTAATCATTGATGATAAGATATCGATAAAAAGTACTACGACAAACTGCGAAATAAAGAATGAAAAGATTAAAAGTAAAAGTACCGCATGGAATTCGTAATAGTAATAATAATTATTATTGTTATTATCATCACCATTATCGAGTGCACAACTGTTTCCCAACTTTTTGAACACTCTTCATGTGAATTCCACTGATAAGTTGGAGACACTTTATCAAAGTGTTTATGGCATAACTATCTAATATATATTCAAGTGTACTGCTAAAGAGTAGGAAACTAGGACGAAACAGCTGTCCGATACTCCCTGTTGGAGGTTCTCCAATGATTCTCTAACTGATGTTAGCTCATGATGAAGCATCTAATATTTCTTTCAAATATGATCGCAGAGTGATATCAGTTAGAGAACCATTGGAGAAGCAGAAGGAATTACTGAATATATGTTTCGTCCCAGTTTCCGACTCTTCAGTGGTACACAGTCACTGGGATTCGAATCCATAACCTTCCCGCCACAGGCTCTTAGACCAATCAACCACTAGGACCTGATTGAAGGACCAACGGATCCCAACTTCTGTCAACGTCATTGGTGAGTATTTGTGGTCAGTCGTTCTCACTAGAACCTCAGGGAAATTCGTCCTGTAACCAATCACTGGCGTGTATCAGATTAATTTTCAACAGTATGTTTCTAGGGATTTCATTTGTTTCAAGTTCGGTCGTGGATTAATGTCACAGTGAGACAATTATTGGAAGCCAGAAGGTAGTACTGGACAGCTGTATTGCCTTTGTTCGGGACTCATTAGCAGTATGAACCCACTAGGGTTCTAACCCAGGACCCACCGGTTAAACGTCAAGCCCATAGACCATTCTGGCAGTGAAACCCGACTCAATGGACCATGAATTTCATGAATTTAGCCCGACTACCAGCGTTTAATATTCCCTATGCTGTTATACACTTGAAGTAAAAGGTATACTAAGACGGAGCATTTAGTTAGTCAAACGTTCTGTAAATATTGTTGGACAGAAACAAACGAAAAGGTTACAAGAAGATGAAGAAAGTTAATGTCACAATTAATGACAAAAGGATGCTGTCTTCAGAGCCAGATTATTTAAAGACTTCAGTCGCTGACTTTAACTGTCTTCTGGGAATCTAAACTTCTCTTTCCTAACAGTCAGAGACATTTTCTGCTATTTTCTGTTAGTGACTTAGCTAGAACTAGGTTGCATGAAAGAGAATTTTTATATGCCAGACTAGCAGATACGCTTATAGTATGATGGCTATGATGAAGACCCTACCGAGTCACTTAAGCTGAAGTGTCCAAGGTGGCGTTCAATTCAAGGATCTATTAGCTCGAAGTTAAGTGGTTAAAGCAATGAACTCACAAATGTATTCACACCTTTGATCTAATTCCCCAACTGGATATAATTCCTTAAAAACCATAATAAATATACGATTGTACAGCTTGATAATGAATTCATTGAAAAGAGTCTCTTCGCTGAATATATTGTATTCGTAAATCTATCTGTTGTGATGTCTTCTTTTTCTCCTTCGAGAAATGCACTGCATTTAATTGGAAGCCAATTATAATAAGTTCAGGAGTATATTTCGACACCCAAGGATATAACTGAATAATTAAAGACTGCAGGTATTTAGTCAGTTTTCTTTGGTTGGTTTGGATTTCAGATCAGACAGTATTGTTTCGCGTGATCACCTCTTAGTTACTGTCTTACCTGAAGATCCTGGAGAATGGGAAAATATCTTGCAATAAACTCAGCTGAAGATTCTGTACACTACATAAACACTGTTTAAAATAGAGCTATTATTATTATTATTATTACAAACAAAGAGTACTTTGGAGACGACTGCGTTTTACAAATTTTCTAATTTATTCTTTTAAGAAACAAATCATTGAAATGGTGGATGTTTACTCTGTGAAGAAGCGATTCCTTCGACTTTGACTCTGAACTACAGGATAAGGTTTATTTAATTCTAATAACAATGTACAACAGAAAATACAACGAAACTTTTAAAGTGAATTCAAGAGTAAGACAAGGCTGCCTGCCAACTATCACCCAAGATATTCCTTATTAAGGTTGGCTGAATTATGCGGAAGACTGTGCGTTGTCAGAAGCGAGAAGTCAGGAATACGCTGGACCACTGGTAATAAAACTCTTGAAGATCTGGATTCCGCCTGTGGATGATATTTGTTTAATGTCACACAAACGCGAAGACTTGCAAGCGAAAACTAACAAACTATCTGACGAAGCAGCCAGAGAAGACAGAACTTCAGATGAACTTACAGAAGACTGTGGAGGTGATGAAAATAACCAATCAACAACAACAACCAGTACCAATCACCATCAATGGGAGAAGTTGAATAATCGTAAACATATGACATTAGAAAGAAGAGAACACGAAGTTCAGCAAAGATATCTTTTCGGCGATTTCATCCGAATAAGGTTACTTCCGCCACTTATCTAGCCAATTGGGGGGGATAAATGTCAAAGCTATCTAGAACAGGAAAGTAAAGATACACCTTCATCAATCAGAAATCAATTGGGAAATCTTCTGCACTCTGTAGTATAAAGAACAAGATTCATATTTTCAAAATAAATGTTAAGTAACTCAGTTCTTCTTTATGAGTGAGAAATTTGGCTCACGCGTCATTAGAAGCATTTCCAAAAGCTGACTGCAGAACTTTATCAACAGTTGCTACCTTCTTTGGCTTCATTATGAAGATCAGATGTCTTGCCAGAAGTAATCAACAATAAGAAACTCTTGGAACTAACCAACCAAGAACTTATAGGTCACTAAGTATGTAGGAAAAAAGGGAGGTGGACTTGACAGACGCTAAGGTAACTGTCGCATGACATTTCGCTACAGAGCATTCCTCGAGTGGAAGGTGAATGAAAGACGACGAGTTTGGCGTATGTCTGAGGGTGACATGGAGGAGATCGTGTGGGGAGGAGAACATGAGAGGCAACGGCCAATCGTGAGCAAAATTAAAGAGGACCACAGAAAATAGGAAAACGCGGAGACATGCTGTTGACTGCCTATGCTGCACTCAGAAACAAAGGGAACAATAAATCACAAATAAATAGTTACAATCACTGGTCAACTGGAAATTACTGTTTGAAGATTTTCAGTCAATGGTCTTCAAAACTACATATCACTTCCCTTCAAACCTTTTCCTTCCTATTATCATTAGTATTGTTAAATTTGTTCTGATGATTTTTGGCTACATTTCCGCTAGTGAGTCGATGGCACAGCGGTTAGAACGCTCACCGATCACGTACATGGTCTGAAGTTCGATTCCCGACCGACGAACACCTGATATCAATGTTCGGTCTGGTAAATTTGGGCTACCGATATCACATGCTGAAAATCCCATAGCTGCATAATAGTATAGGCATTATTAATCCCATCTCGAACTGTACCTTGAATCGACAGGAAGACAATTATCCCACATCTTTTCTATTACGTTTTCCAATGTCAATCTATAGGATACCTACAAATTCCTTACATACCACTGTTATTTTCAATTTTACTTCATACATGTGTTTGAAAATACAAGACTGATGAGGTTAACACCATTTTTGTTGTACTTAGTCGTGTAGGAATTTGACCTAACAGACAAACTATGGCTGATTAACTCACGAGATAACTTTCCTTTGGCTTATTTGAGTTTTAGACCTTGTTTTGGTTTTATATTTATGTTTGTTAAGTCAGATCACAAGGTGATGTCGCTTAGAGCCAGAGAGTAACGAACAGCTGTTTCGTCCTGGCTAGGCAATCCTCACAGCACGCACCTAAGACTCCCACCCCTGATGAGGCTCAATATGTTTGTTCTGTTAACATTTTATTCTCATGCAAAAAAGTAATAATTTTAATTTTATTTGGCTTTTTCTTGGTTATCTATTGCAGTGACAACATCAGGATTATCAATGGATGGCCTTATTGCTGAATCCGGTGATGATATTACCTTGACTAGTCCACATAATGGTTATTTCATGAAATCAGGTACTTTAGCTGGTCTTCCATGTTCTGTCACAGGTTTACGACCAGTTGGTCTCCCTTCATATCATCATTATTCTCATCATGCGAAAAGTTATTCAACTAGTCGACGTGGACGAACCAGTACTCCAGTGCCAACCGGTGGTAGTGGCGGTGGGTGGTTTAGGTTATTTAACTGATCCAGATCTGATGGACATTGATGCTTATCCATCTGTACAAAGTTGGCTAAGACCGACAGCGTCGTCTGTATCAAGACATGAAAAGTCTTTCAAGGTGAGTGGCTATTTACGCGTTGACTGTTCTATTGCCTTTCTCTGTATGTCTTTATATATGTATACATATATTGGTAATAATACATTCTATTTTCTTATGTCCTCTTTAGTTGTGCCCACGATTACCAATAATCTCTTAGCTCCTCTTATCCACATGATATCCGCCATATCGCTGTCGGACCCACGCCCAACTGGTTGTTTCCTGTCCGGGTTTCACTTGAGCGATGGCCTGTCGCATGATATCATTCGACGGTCTCTTCACTGGCGTGTACCCAATCCATCTCCATTTTCTCCTACATATTTGTTGTGCGATAGGTCCTTTGTTCGTTGGTTCTCATAGTTTCTTGTTGCTGATTTTTCCTAGCTAGTCATTTGATATTCAATATGGGGTCAGCGAAGGAGGCAGCTATTGATAAAAGCCTGCCACAGTCGGCTGTTGGAAATGCTTTTCTTGACGTGTTCGCTAATTTTCTGACCCATATAGAAGAACTGAGTTACTGAACATTTGTGTCGAAAATTCGAATCTTACTGTTCATGCTGTGTGCAGAAGATTCCTACACTGATTTCAGATTCATGAAGGTGCATCCTGTCTTCGCAATTCTGGCTGGCTTCGACATCTTCGTCTGTCCAGATTGTGCCTGTATCTGGAACGATGCTTACTGCCTAGATAAGTGGCAGAAGTGACCACTTTCAATTTTCTCCCATGTTTCAGGGTTATAATACTCGTAGACCACCTATGTGTTCCAGGGTGCGATCCTTGGGAGACGCACTCCTAGAGGGCTCTGGCTCAGCCAATAGTAAGTCTGAGAATTAAAGAAGGTTGGGTTTGAGGCTGGAAACCCAATCCCTCATAAAATGGACACCACCGCTTCGAATTTCCTAAGTGTGACCAATCGTCATTTTAGTGAGTGATACTTCTTTTTTTTGTTAAGAATACAAAACTTCACACACCATAGGCACCAGGAGAGATGAGTCATACAACATCTTGTGTTTTGTGTTAGGGTTGGAATACTGTTCGGAAACCCGAGCCGAAGCAGTTAGTTGTCTTTGAGGGACTCCTTCTTTAGCCTTCGGCTTGAAGTCTCACTTACAAGGCAGTAGATCAATGTTAGGAGCTACGTCCCAATGGTTACCAGTGACCGTAACAGGTTCACACACATCACTTGACATCTTCGGCTTCTTGAGTTCATTAACACTAAAGGTTTAGAATCCAATGTTTCCAGCTCCTCTGCGTAAACCTACATGTTGACCAGTCCTGTTGTGAGTGACAGACGTCCACTGTTGTCCTTTCATTATTATGAAGATTACCCCTGATGAATGAAGATGATGAACAGGACTCACCTAGCAGAGGCTACAAATGAGTGGCAACATGGAGGCTATCCTTAGCCGTCCTGGGTCGTATATGGAGGCGAATAGGTGATATGTAGAGTGTTCCTTGCATCCTCATTGTACCAAGTGTCTAGATGACTGCCGGTGAATGAAGCAAAGTTAAAACATGGTTGGGGTCTCTATTAATTAATTTATTAGATAAATTCATGAATAATTCCCATTCGGACATTAGTAGACAAAAGACAAGTAGTTCAGCAAAGAGTCTCATTTCGGCGAATTCATTTTCAAAGCTTTACAATCGCAAATATATATGGTTATTTTGTGTGTGTGTATGTGTGTATACATCAAATTTGTCAAACGAAAATACGGTTAGTAAGTTTAAATGAATTGGATGTTCATATAAGAGGATAGTAACAAAAGTGATGAGTTGTCATAAATGATTGTTAAATAAGAGTTACGCAATGGCATGAATAGTTTGATGAATGAGGTGTACTCAAAGGGTGTACATGGAAACCAAATAATATACGGAATTACACAAGGGTTTTAAGTTAGAAAAATAAGTATACAAACAGAAGTAAGGTCAAGTCAAACAAATAAAGAAAGAAGATTTGGGTCAAACCAACGGAGTTGTTACCATGCGAGTAGAAGTGGTTGGATAATTTTCTTTTGTATGCATAGTTCTGGTTCCACCAACTAGATGGCTAGGGCTTCTGCGATGCAATGAAGACGGAATCGTACTGTCTTTGGGGGGTTGTTCTTCACTTTGTAGATCACTTTGAAGGAGGCGTTCGTTGAGGTGGAATGACCAGTGTTGACGAGATGTTCGATTATTGCACTCCTTATATGGCCATTATTTCCTTTATGTAGCCACGCTGGGTAGTGTTCTTTGATAAATCATATGGTGAACAAAGATGACGTTTCGAACGCAATTTATTGTTTATAATCCTACCAGTTATAATCACACGACTTCGAAACTTTCGTTTTATTGTTTTCTTTATCTTTACTGTTTGTCGTTCAGGGTATAAGTAATATAATAGAATAGATAAAGAGATTGATAACTGAAGCTTTATTTATCGAATCAACTGAAAATACGTGTACTAGGAATGATTCGGCATCTGTCCAGCCGGACATCTGGATAATTCTACTACCTCTATGACAAATAGGAAAGAATAAAGAAAACTATAAGATGAAAGTTTCGAAGTTGTGTAGTTATAACTGATATGATTATGAACAATAAGTTAATAGTATTCCTAATAATAATAATAATTCTTAATGTCGATAAACAATAAATAATACTGTTCCACCGTATTATTATTATTGTTCCCTTGGGTTCCTAGTGGAACATTGGGCTTCAACTGCACGTCTCCACTTGCTTCTGTCTTCTGCTGTACTTTTCACTTGCATCCAGGTTAGTCCATACTGTTTCAACTCTTCTTCACATGATCTCCTCCATGTCACTCTTGGACGTCCCACTCGCCGCTTCCCTTTCGGGTTCCACTCGAGCACTGGCCTGACGCGCGATGTCACACAGCGGTCTCTTCAGCGAGTGTCCAATCCATCTCCAATTTCTCCTGCATATTTGTTGGGCGATTGGTTCTTGTTTTGTTTGTTCCCATAGTTTCATGTTGGTGATCCTTTCCGGCCATCTGATCTTCAGTATAGAGTGAAGACAGTTGTTGATAAAGGTCTGCAACCTGTTGGAAATATTCTTTGTGACCCGCTGCCAAGTTTCTGATCAGTATAGAAGAACTGACTGACTTGACGTTTGTAGTGACAATCCGAATTTTGTTGTTGATACTGGGTTGAGTGACGAAGATTTCCAGATTGGTTTCAGGTTGATGAATGTGTTTCTGGCCTTCCCGATTCTCGATTTGACATCCTCGTCCGTTCCTCCTGTAGTTGAGACAATGCTCCCTAGATAAGTGAGTGAAGTAACCTCTTTCAAATCCCTCCCGTTGATGGTGATTGGCACTGGATGTTGCTGCTGCTGTTGTCGTTGTTGGTTGGTTATTTTCATAAACTCCGTCTTGTCTATGTTCACCTGGAGTCCTGTCTTTGCTGCTTCTTCGACTAGTTTGTCGGTCTTCGCTTGTAAGTCTTCGATTTTGTGTGACATCAAACATAAATCATCCGCGAAATCAAGGTCTTCCACCATATGGATATATCTAATAAACAAGTTAATATGGAGTGGTTGGGTCCGGCATTCAAGTCGGTGGAAGATTGAGTTTCGTTCTATGGTTAAGGCATACAGTACTGTCACCAGTCTATATGGAATAACGCTGATAAACACCACGATATACAGTGCTGTGATACTGTGGTGGTGTGATACAGACAATGTGTTCCAACGGAATATTATTCTCACATATTCCCACAGTTCAATTCGGCATTAACAACAGAATACGATATATCTATTTGAACATTATATTTGATGTTGTTTGATGTAAGCCGAAATCACACGCTCAGTGACTGGTTAACGAATATAAACTATATATATATATATATATATATATATATATAAACAGCGGTTTGATTAATGAAAAATATACTTTGGCTTCCGTGTCTTGCTTTCTGTTGTTACAATATTATGCTGTAAATTACGGTTAATTTTATGGTTAAGAAACAAGTGAATGCCTCAAAGGATTCAGTGATAAAAATCAATGACAGCACTATTTCGTAATGAAATAAACAATTACATAATGAAATCTTCATTCAAGACATATGAGATAATTTCATTAAGTATTAATCCTCCTCAACAGTTTTCTTCACTCAATACTCAAGATCAGGTGGCCAGAAAAGATCAGCAACAGGGATCTCTGGCAATGAGCGAACCAACCAGGAACCGATTGTGAAACAAATAGGCAGGAAAAAATAGAGATGGATTGGCCATACTCTGAGGGAACCATCAAGTGACATCACTAGACAATCCATCGCTCGAGTGGAACCCGAAAGGGAAGCGGCGAGTTGGTCGTCAGTGCAAGAGTGGGTGACTTGGAGGAGGTGATGTGAAGAGGGGATGAAAATGTGTGGGCAGACATGGAGCCAGGTGAAGACTCTAGCAGAGAACCGAACGCAATGGAGACGCACGGCTGAAGCCCTATGTTCCTCTAGGAATTAAAGGAAACAATAATAATATAATAATTAATCCTCCTCACCTTTTTTATTCCTTTCCGCTCCCAGTGGAATATGAGGCTTCAAGCTTTAGATTTGAAGTTTCAGTAGGAGTATTGTTTTTTTTACAAGGTGGGGTTGCTAACCCCACGCCCAACCTCCCCTGTTTGTCGAGATTATAACCGGCTAAGGGAGGTAAAGATTTTGATGTGGTTGTGTTCTCTGAGCTGGATAGTTAATTTGCGAAGCTTTTATCACCCTACTAGGTGACATCTTCAGCGCATAGTTCAATTTGAAGTGAGTTTTTAGATTTCTCCACGAGTTTATTAATCATCTCTCCTGGTGACCTTGGACGTAATTGCTTACTTTTGTGTGTTTTCACACCTTCTAGGTTACTCGCATTGTAACTCATTGTTTCTTTGACTTGAACTTTCACCCTTTGTGTGTGACGTTTCTTTCTTATCGGTTGATAAATTTTGTCTATCTCGATGTATCTATTGATTGGTGATTCACTGGAATACCAGGCAGGCTTCTAAAAATTCTCTAGCATTCTTGTTGTTTCCTCTGTCTAATATTTGAACACTGGTTGTCCCAGTCGAATTGATATCCGTGGTTGTCTGTATGTAGTGATATGAGTGAGTGGATATCATGTATTTTGACGACTAACTTATGTTCGTGGATACGAAGACGAAGGGGACATCAACTTTTGCCAATGTAGTGTTTTTCGCAGTTGATACAATCTATTTTGTAGATGATGTTGGTTTTATCTTCCTTCGCTGTTGAGTCTTTTGGTTGACATAGAATTGAGTGAAGTGACTTTGTTGGTTTGTGTACGACGTCAATTCAATCAAAAAAATATCCAGTGCAGTCCTACAGGAGGTCAGTCGCTAGCCTTAATAGCTCAGTGGTAACGTCTCTGACTGCAGCATTGAGTGACGCGGGTTTGAATATCAGAAGGGACATCAGTTCCTTCAAGATTGCAGATACGGCTTGCTGATGAGTGTCAACTAGCACGAAACTTACGTCCAAGGCTTCCTGTCGATTGCCTCCAACCATCTAATGTCAACTCCAAAAATTTTGAAGTGTCTTGAAGTGATTTCTGAGATATCCTTTATATATGGTAAGGTGATTTTCCTTGTGCTTCACTTCAAATTGAAGTATGCGCTGAAGATGTTGCCTAATAGGGCAATGAAAGCTTCGCAAATTAACTATCCAGCTCAGAGAGCACAACCAAATCAAGATCATCCATCTGAGGTGAAGATCTACAGAAGTCGGGACTCGAACCTTGGACCACGTGCATGGTCGGCAAGCACTCTACCTCTGACCTCCGACGCACAATCCTCCTGCACAATGATTCGAATCTAGTATGTTAAGTCTTACACCAGTTAGTACTTGTATAATTTAAATGACCCTTAGAAGAACGATGTCTTTAACAAAGTTGAAAACATTAGGTATAACTATTGGTGCAGCGTGCAGTAAAAGGATCTATTCGATTTCGTCAGTTTTCTTCTTTTTCTTCTTCTTTTATTCCTTTACATTCCCAGTGGAACATAGGACTTCAAGCTAGAGGCTTGAAGTTTCGGTAGCAGTGGTGATTGTTTTTAGGGGATGGGGTTGCTAGCCTCATGCCCAGCCCAACCTTTCCTCTTTGCCAATCTTATTAGTGGCTTAGGGAGGTTTGGGAATGCGTCTGTGGCCGGGGATTGAACTCCGGACCATTAGCGTGGTTGACGAGCATTCCACCACTGTGCCACCGACGCACTTCACTTTTCTTCAGCTATTCCTAATCTCTAGTTTGTATATACTACTAAATGATATAAGTAGTTGCGAAAAAACTTATGTCATATGGTAGGAATTCCGCGTAGGAAGGGCTTTAAGTGAACATAGGGAAGTTAGGGGGGTGATGGCGATACCTATGCAGTAACAACAAGCATCAGTCGCTATCAATTGCAGGGATGTAAAGGAAGTCATCGCCTACACTTACCTTGTTTGGCAGCATCTTCTCAACCACAGGTCAGACGGATGAAGATGTTGAATTGAGGGTTGGTAGGGCAAGACAGGCTTTAATTCTTTCGACGCATCACGAAAAGTATTTCAAACAAGCTTTAGACTTGCACCAACAGCTGCCTTCACCCTATACTGAATGTGAGATGGCTAGGAAGGATTACCAACGGGAACTATGGGAACTAACCAACCAATAATCTATTGCTCAATATATTTATATGCAGAAGAAAATTGAGATGGATAAGACACACGATGAGGAGACCAGCTTTTCATGGATTCCCTCAAATCATATCGATCGGTTCCTTATAGAAAGTCTACATCGATACCAAGTTAGTCTAAGCACAGTGTAAACTTTTTGTTCATATCTTTTGATGATTATTTTGATGTTTATTTCCTACAAATTTTCATTCTGTTTGTCTTCTATGCCTTTTTTTCCGGTTTACAGATATATCCTTATGAGGTATTAAAAGCTTCTTCAAATCAATCATTGAAAGGAGTGGATAGAACACAATTAGAGGTAAGTTGTTTAAAAGGATGAAAAAACGTATATTTTCGTCGGTTCTACACACTGCTAAACCTCGCCTATACAATTAACTAGGCAGCAAGGCTGAAAAATAAAGAAGGATGGAAGTGAGGCTAGCAATTCCCTCTCCACCTCACCTCATTAAAACACACCCTAAAGCTCAAAGCCTTTGAAAGCGTATTATAAGAAAGATAGAGAAATATACTTGTAGAGTTCTCAGAATATTGATCAGCCAGTTGATTTAGGTAGAGTATGCAGGTGGTATAACCTGCGTTGATAGTCCAGTCGTTGGAATGCCACTCAACTACGCGGGAGGTTTGAGTTTCGATTCTTAGCCAATGCACTCCTAAACACTGCCTAGTTACTAATCAATCGTAAGCTCGGAAAGGGAGAAAGTTTAGGCGTGAGGCTGGCAACCCCACCCTGTAGAACTATAAACTCTGCAACTGAAGTTCCAAAGCTCGATGACTCCCTGTGTTCCACTCGGAAAGCATGAAATGAATACATATATATATATATAATATCAGACAGAGAACAATTGGAAAACCGAGGAGTACTGGATATCTATTTCGTCCTAGTTTAGGACTCTTCATCAGCACGCACCCATAGAGTTTCAAACCGAGGACTATCTGGTTTTTCGGTGAGTTCGTGGACCATTCAACCACTGGAAATGTCCTCAAAGAAAACTTGTCTGCAAGATATAGGATCTAATTAACTTCCTAAACAAAACTTCTTGATTTCTTCGTGCGATTTTATGACATTCACTTTATCCTTTTTTTAAAGGTACTGAAATCTGTCCTCATCAGTCTCTGGTTTAGAGTACAGAAAGTCAACAGGGTTGAACATCTTAAATATTTGCATCAGTCTCAATAGACTGGCTTTCGATGAGATCTCAGCCATCATCTTTGATGCCTGTAATGTGTTTCTCGTTACACGTTAGAAAATCAGGGTTTTCATTGTGTACAATTCGCTATGCTCTTTTTTTATAGTTTTACATAACAGGGCTGAATCATACATGATGCATTATAGAAGGTTAATAGGTTCGGTTGATGTCACTGAATTGAAATGCTTGACCTGTTTTTGGAACAAACTATCTGTTAGTACAGACACCGGGATGATGATGGCGATGTTTGGTTGGTAGTGCAACATTAACTACTTATTGAGATGCAGCTGACCATTGGCATAGATTTCACCATTGGTTATTGTCAAGCTAATAAGGAATTGGTGTTAGATTGCTGTTGCAGGTAATTGGCAAAAAACTCTGAACACCCAGGTTTCAAGTAAGTTGGCACTTGTCAGTCTCTAAGGTATGTCAGCAACCTAAAAGCGACTACTAATTCCTCTAGGATTCAAACCTAAGTCAGAGACCTTACAACTGAGCTATTCTGGCTCTCCATTGGCCTCTTGTAGGACTGTAATGGATACTTTGAATGGACAATAGATACTCACTAGTGTCATGTGTTTTTTTCCTTCACTTTCCCCAGTGGAACATAGGGCCCCAAGCTTGTGGCTTGAATTTTCTGTAGCGTGTTTATTTTACAGGATGTGGTTGCTAGCCTCATTCTCAACCTTTTCTCTTCACCAGCATTATTTCTGGCTTAGCGAGGTGAAGGAGTGCGTCGGCCGGGGATTGAACCCCGGACCATGTGCATGGTCGGCGAGCGTTCTAACCGCTATGCCACCGACGCACTGGGAACAATCTCGTTGACTTAGAATATACAGATATACTCCTTCAAGGTGAAGACGCTGACAAAATACAACAGAGTCTTCTGAACACATTGAGATGCAATCTGCGAATGTTGGGCATGTGATTCGCTCCCACCAAATGTAAGATTATGTTACAGGACTGGACTACACGGACTCCTGGCTTAGAAATAGGGAGTGAAGTAATTGGTGGAGCGTGTTGACCACTTCACTTATTTGGGAAGCTGCATCAGCCAGTCCCAGCGGATTGATCACTGACGAAATCTCAGCACGGATACAGAAGGCTAGTTTCGTATATGCAAGTTTACGCCATCTCTGGCGTAGACGTGATATCCGTGTGGCTATCGACCAGAAGTTCGCTCTGTCCTCCTTTATGGCTGTGAAACCTCGCCATTGAGAGTGGAGAACATGAAAAGCCTGTTTAGCTGTCTTTGATCATAGGTGCCTGCATTCTATCTCTCGTGTGAAATGGTATAATAGAATGAGCAATATTGAGGTTAGCCATCGGTCGAGTGCATGGTAGGTGGGTGGGGAAATCAATCGACGAAGCTGTTAAGTTACATCAACTGAGATGGTTAGGACATGTGTTACACATGCATTTTCTTGCCATTGCCTTCCTCGATGGGCAATGTTAGCTAACATAGGGTCAGGCTGGAAAAGAGCTAACACACGGTGGTCAAACCAAAACATGGCTTCACCAGTCAATGAAATCCACAACAGTTAGTTTAAGCCAGCCAGCCACGTAGGGAGATGTAGACTTCCTGGTTGGGGTCCTCGGGACGGTAAAAACCAATGGCTAGAGACAATCGGTGATATGGCTCAAAATCTTTGTTGTCAATAGCGCAGATGCATTCACTCCTTGTCACTTATAATTTCCAATGAAACTAAATTGTTCTTCGTTTTTACTATTCCTTTTGTCTCATATCCCTGTCTACTGTCTCTATTTTGCATTTTTTCTACTTTCTTCTCTTGCTTTATGTGCTACATGGAGTGTGGCGACTTGAACTGCTGCACATCAGTGCAAGGTTCTATGTCGAAAACAGACAGAGTGTCATGTGTCTAGTCCTTCGATCAGTGCAGACTGAATTCTTATTATCTAACAAGAATTCAGTATGCACCGCGAGGGTGAGCCTCTTAGCATACTTGTCTGCGATAAAATTCAGCCTACATGAAAGTGGTTACTACCTAGTGTTGACTCAATTTTTCTATTATAGTCTTATAAGAGGTCAGTTGCCAGTCCAAATATCTCAGTGGTAACGTTTCCAACTACGTCTTGCTGACTGACAAATGCCAACTATCACTAGAACCTGCAGATTACCTTCAACCGTCAAACATCGTACATGAATTCAGCTTGCACCAACACACCAAGTGGGAGACGCATGCTGTTAGTCACCTCATAGTGACTACTCACTAATGAATGTAAATAACAAAATTATCATTTGAAATTCATGGAATGGCCATTGGATCGAGTCCTAGTAGCCTAATGTTCTGCAATCTAGCTCCTCTTATCACCGGAAGGTTTCCTGGGTTCGAACCCCGATGGTCGCATACGACCGATGAGTCGCAAAATAGACTGATGACACAGCTGCCAAGTTATCTCTGTGGCTGGTTTTCCAATGGTAATCTAACCGATATCAGCCCATGATAATAATAATTTGCTTTATTCCAAAAGAGTACTTGTGATATAGAATGGAATTCCCAGCATTTCACTACAGTATTGCATCCAGTCAGTACCTTATCAATAAATACAATTCTACACAGATTAAGGAAATTTCAGTCCATTATGACAACAAAATATTGGCATGTCGGTAGAAAAGCCAAAGTTGAACAGTGTTTGAAGGTATTAGAAAAGTAGGTGCTATCATATTTACTGGCGTAAGCGAGAGAAAGAAACAAAGCAGCACATAACGGAAAAAAGAGAGAGAGAGAGAAAAGGAAAAGAAAGGAAGAAAATGTTGTACCTATAAATGATATGAGTTGGAAAGACGAGATCCAGTTGTTCTACTGACTAATTAATGAATTATAGGTGTCACGCCTAATTCTTTCTTTATCACACAGAACACGAGCTAAGTAGGATGTGGTTGAGTTTTTGTACTCGCTGGTGCGAGCATATAGTTTCCTATATAGGCTTCTGGTTTTACCTGATGCGATGCAAAGGGAGAGTTGTGAGTGAAGAGGGTGGTGTGAGTTAGACAAAATGGATTTGGCACATTTTTCACATGAGTCTATGTGCCTGTCAACCAGAATATTAACAAGCTGGTTAAGTGGCACGTCGCTTACCCTGCTGACAACCTTTAACATCCTGCGTAATATGTTATAGTCTTTCTTCAGTAGCCCAAGAAAAACTGAGGGGGAACAATAGAGAATAATAGGCAGAATGCGAGAATTAACGAATTGTAGGAGTAAGGGTTGGGTTACACCAGAATATTTTAACTTATTGATGTAGAAAGTAAGACGGAATATTTTCTTAGAAATCGCTAAGATGGGAGACGTCCAGGAGAGATCAGCAGATAGAATGACGCCTAGGTATTTAATTTCCGACTTGGTTACTATTTCAGTGCCATCTATGTTGCACACCTCGTGACGGCCAACCAGTTTGTTTAGGTCGGATTTATGCCCGAAATTCCTGTAACAAAAGTATCACTAACCACAATTTCATTTTCTCACTTTCTATTTTTTTTATAGTGTCATCTATCAGTCGATGAATTTGAACAATTATTTAAAATGTCACCTCAAGCTTTTCAACGTCTACCTGAATGGAAGAGAAATGATTTGAAAAAGAAATTAGATCTTTTATAATCTATTGTTATTATTATTATTATTAATATTATTTATTGTTTCAATGATCAAGATCACAATGACGATCACGATCATGATCATGGTGTTGGTGATGGCGGTGATGGTGTATGATGATGATGTTTTAGAGTTGAAAACGAACTGATTTATCCATCTATCTATATATTTATTGATTTATTGATTTTTGTTTGTTTGTTTGTTGAATTCGCTTATTGAGTAATAATCAAGGAAAAAGTTTTGTAAAATTTCCTTCTTCTTGTTTTCGTTTCTTTTTTTGGTTTTCTAAATATTCTCTCTTTTTTGCAAATACATGTGTAGATATTTATTTATTTATTTCTATATGTGTATATGTGTACACATGTCTTGCTATTTCGTTGTTTTGCTATGACTCTAATCCCGTCTCACACACAGCCCCCCCCCCTCTCCACGTCTCCCTGTACGAATCTTCCGTTTCTGTTGAAATTTTTACAACCTCACTGAAGTTTGTATTTTCTGTCTTCTTCTAAGTGTAATTCATGTGCATATATGTGTGTGTATGTATGTATCGATGTTTGGAACACATACGACATCAACTGATTGCGTCATCGTGAACAACTGCAACAACAACAATTAGCTATTGAATAACTAATTACTTGGCTTTCATTTCGCTTTTTCTATCTTCTATCTGTTCATAGTGCTATAGTTCTCTTGTTCAATTTTTTTATGCAGAACCACTTTGTAGCAGAAGAACACGAAGAAGTATTTGTTGAAGGGCTATTTTTCGTGTTTACTATCGTCCTGTCGTCCAGTACCGCTCTGTTCCTGTCGTTTGTATGCACGTCAAGACGATTGTCTTCTAAGCAAAACGTATAATCTGACAGACGATGTCGTTAATTCAACTTCATCTTGGCGCTTATTCTTTAAAGGAATTCGGTGTATTCAACACATGTGTAATCAATTCTCTGTGCCTATTTATATGTATGCATGTTAAATAATCAATATACAATCGTTAGCAAGATATGCGAATGCGCATAGTTAGTAAAATAACTCATCTCAACTGTCAATCAATATTTTCTCCTGCCTCTTTCCCCCCCCCCCCCTGCCTTCGTCACTTCAACTTCTATTTCTCGTCTTCTATGTTGCTTTTTTTTCGAAAATTTTTGCTATTGTGAAGGTCAGCATCTGTCGACAGTTCACTTACAGTTGAATCTTTCTTGAAGAAAAGCAATCAGGAGGATGTATTGTCACCTGTTTTCGGCCTGTCTTGTTCTCTTCTCTGCTCTTCTGTGTACTTCACTCCAAATAATCTTTATTATTGTTAATATTGTTATTGGTACTGTGTAACAATTCGAACTAGACCCTACACCACACCAACCCACCACACGACACCATTTTACTCCTCATATAAACATACTTATAGACATATTTTATACATATACTTGAAAACGAAAAAAAACCAAAAAACATTCAGGGATTTTTAGTTTTATCAATGATTATTGATTATTCAGTTTGTTGAGTAATGTACAATTTTTGCTCAAAGCTTACTTATTCAATAGTCGATCTCTGTGTGTGTGTATGTGCGTGGGTGGGTGACTGGACTGCTGAGTGAGTGCACTATCGCTTATCACTGCTGCACTGTATTGTAATTTACTGGGCTTTTTTTTTAAGATTTTCTCCGAATTGTTATTTTCTGATTGTCTGCTCTAGCTATTATGTCAGTTGATGTAGCTTTGCATGCACCGAAGACAGATAGGATCCCTTAGTTTTCAACAAGAGTTCTTCAATGATATTTGACGATGCTCTGTGTGTTTGTGTGTCTGTTAAGCGTGTACAATCGAGAAGTATGTCTTTCTCAGCCTTCACCCACGCCTAAAAGATGACATCAGAGATATCGTGTATACAGGCGGTCACATGCGGTCATATGTAATATTGTCAATAATTTCTTTGCTATGTATTAAAAGAAATACCTCTTCGTTTCCACCCCGCCCCCAAAATTTTTCGAAATTTCAACTACTCGTCTTCATGATGACCATTTTTCCTTTCTCATTTAGTCTATTTCTGTAAGCCAAGAAGATTAGTCACTGTCATTCACAAACACACACACATATATATATACATGCACATAATTACACTGCTTCAAAATTTAAGAAAAATATGAGTATATATCTATCTATGTGGTAAAAATGAGTCTTACACTTTACATTGTATTATGTAATGATTTCCACTTTTATTAGTTATTTGTTGATATTATTTGCTATTGCATTTTATCTTGATATCTGATTGGTCGGTTGGTTGGTGAGGTCGCGCTAATCTGATTGGCTGATTTGTTGACTTATTTTACTATTGGTTAAAAAAAATGCTGCCTCTTATTCAGTTAATTCTTTTTTTCTTCTTGTTGTTACCGCCTATTTCAAATCATTATATTACTTATCTTATATAAAATATATTGAAATAAATGAATTTAAAACAATAACAACAAAAAAAATAGAGAAATATAATTATTAAAATGAAAAAGTTAATTTTCTTATTGAGAAGACGTTTTTTTCATTAATCCTAAAACAGTGTGTAGAAATGGAGACATTTATCTCCTAATATGAAGTTAAGACAAGCAGCAAAAGGTGTTCACAGAGCAGGATTTAATGAATCATCAAATTTCAGCAGAAATCTTCCTCAGCTGGATACTCTCTCTGAATATAGAGATATATATTTATACCAATAGCGATATAAGTTTACAAATAAAATTCAAATATAAACCAATCATAGTGTTTTGTCTATAGGATAATACGACGGTGAATATAAATTGTGCAATTAGTCATAAAAGTAGTAATGACAATATTAATAATAGTAATAATAAAAATGGTCTTGTCAATAATAAGGATGAAAAAGTGAGGCAATCTGTGATAACACGAATAATGAAAAACAGTATGATTAAACAAACAACTGTTCAGGTGGAAGTAGTCGATAAATGCTTGTAAAAACAAATGAACCGATTAAGTAATGTTAGATTGTAAGCGAAGGAAATAAAACACGTTTATAATGAAGATAAGATTAAGGGAGGATGAGAAAAGGGGTTGAAAATATAAACAAAGGGTTGTGTAGAAGTCATTAGTTGTATGAACTTTTTTTGAATACATAGTTTAGGTTTAATAGTTCGAATGCCTATCGCCTCAGCTGTGTGCAGTAAACGAATACGAAGCCTATTGGAAAGATTCGGTGGGATACGATGAATCACTTTGAAGGCTCTCGTTTTCTCGATTACATGACCACTATCAATTAAATGTGACAAAATTGAGCTACGGATTGTTTTTGTCTGTCTTTTGCCAAACCACGATGGGAGATGTTCACTAACACGTCTAAGCTGTCTAGTAACAATATTGTTCGCTTAAATGTGTTGTTCCAAATTTTACAATAGAGATATAAGACTGATAAGATATTAGGAATTGCGAACCAAATAATATTGATAATATTAGCATTGCTAACAGTGATATTGGTTGGTGGTCGCGCTAAATCATGAACTGGTAGAAGTTAGAATTCATGGACCAGCCATTCATTTGGGTTCCAGTGGCTGAATGCTATATGAACTAGCTTGCCTTGTAAACGGCAGGTCCTGGGCTCGAACCTCGGTGGTGGGTACGTACTGCTGATGATTCCCAAAACTGATAACAATCTGTGATCAACTCGTAAAAACAGATCTAATCCTAATCTATGAAATTACCAGTTCGCCAATGTAGCTAATCTAAATTCTGAGGTCCGAGCTAATTCGATTGTCTGAGGTGAGTTAGATCCAGTACACATCTGAAGGAGCTCAGCCTGAAACGTGTGAAAGAGCCGTCTGAGTTTTAGGTCACTTAGATCTGACTGATGAACAAGCACTACTGGTGATGTGATCGGTATACAACTACTCATGTCATAAATCAGTAGTATGTGGTTTTAAGGGTATCAAAGTTTCTACTAACCGTTTCAATTCAGCCAATAGAGTAAGCGACAGTAAAATAATTTATGACCACTTACACAGTTACATGACGTATACATCTGTAGCTTGGATAAAACATGATAAGTTGTTAATGGATTAGAGCATCAGAAGCATGTTGAGCAGCAATTCGAGGACTATGGATTATACAGAAACTTGTATTCGAACATATTTGTATTTGACTTGTCTTTAAACAATGTTAAATAAGATAGTGATAGTTGTATCAGTATTTCGAACCTCCACGAATCTCATTGTCTAAATATAAATCGCCTGCTCAGTGATGTCTACTTCACGGATGTCCCGAAGCTGTACTAAGAAATTGTGACCAGGGGGTTCACCATTTGTCAAGGTGAAGTGGACGCTCACCAAATGCATAGGTGAAGGTAGCGCTATATCACGAATTAAATATTCACATAGTGAAATTTAGAACAACACATTTAAGCGAACAGTATTGTGTTTCCAATTAGATCTCATCAGGCTTATCTCTAATATACATAAGTTTACAAATAAAAATTCAAATATAAATCAATCACGGTGTTTTGTCAATAGATTGTGCATGTAAATTGTTCAATTAGTCATAATATGAGTAGTGACAATAATATTGATAATGATTTTATCTAGAGCGAACAATTGTTTTCAATAAATTCTTCTTCAGGCTCTACAAATATAAATCCATTAATTTAAGCATACAATAGCCATTAAAGGCAAATTATAATCATATCAGAAAGTGTATTGTGGAACAAGTATAAGATGGGATGGAACAATAGTCAGATAGTTTTTTAATATGCATGGTCAATGAGAACATGGGACAAAATCAGATGAAGTAATTTAACTTAATGATGTGTGTATATATATAGATATAGTCAACAGAAATACAGGTTTCGAGAGTGTGTGTAATCAGGGTGTGTGAGACAATATGAAAATAGACCAACGAATGGGACGGACAAGACATAAGTTCAAGGTTGAAAATAACGACAGTAAGAATGATTGTAAAATAATAACGATGATATGGTGTAAAATTACAAGCACTATTGGTGAATTCATTGGAGAATAC